CCCCAAAACCCCAAAACCCCAAAACCCCAAAACCCCAAAACCCCATTTAAAAAACAAAAAATTGATAAGTTCAACAATGAATATTAAGCAAGGATTACAAAAATTCTTGAATAATTACTCAGGCAAGAAGATTATTGGGGAAGAAATAATCCCTTTCAAAGCTTTGGTAATCGAAGTACTAGACCTCATGATTTCCGATGGAGAGTACAAGATCCCAGCGATTTACTCAGAGGAATGTAGGAAGGAGTTCAACACTAAATTTGAGTACCTCAAGCTCTCAGAATTAAGAAATATGAACATCATGGTTAACAATTACGAATACATTCTGCATGACCCTCAAGCTGGAGATTGAGGGTCTTATAAAGGCATGATAGTCAAGATTGTCATTCATTCTATAAAGCCCCTGCCAAATGAAGCACCTTTAAATAGCGCCGGAAAAGATATTTTACTTAATAAGTTTGTGAAGGCGGGACTAGAGAAATACAAATACAAAAGAATGCAAGGGATCCTCATGGCTTCTGAAAACACTGATTACCCTATGGAGGTCCAGGAGCAGTCTCAGAGCCAACAGATGAGAATTGAGGGTGAGCAGTCTAAAATGTCTGGAATAACCAGTAATCTATCATCTTTAATTGCCATTTTTGACGACAAAATGGAACTCTCACATAAAAAGGAACAAACAGAGGTATCTCAAAATCAGAGTGAACTAATCCAGTCTATATTTAACCTAAACACTGGGAAATACCTTGAAGATGATTCTAAAGACCAAGGCCTGTTCCATAGAGATGCTCACCAGAAAGAGTTCACATTCACAAGACTGATCAACCTTCAGAGGCAAACTGAAGCCGAACTCTATGCCAGACTGAATGAAAAGTATATTCAAGAGATGCAAATTGAAGATAAAAGACAGTGAAGAATGAAGGAAGAGAGTCTAAAATATGAGAACAAGCAGAAAGCCCTCAAGTATTCTCTTAAAGATCTTGTGGTTCAAAGGATAAATAAAACTATGAACAAGCCTAGTGAGAGTAATGTTCATCAGAGAGGCAATATTGATCTCAATAGCACCTTTGAGATTAAGGAGGGGATCAAGCAAGTTATTGAGAATGAAATACTCAAAAGAATGCAAGATAGTGATCAAGAGAGTGATAATGGCAGGCCACCAATCCAACATTCTAAGTCTAAAAAGGAACTCAAGAATCACTCTCCTGAAGAGGTAGAGGAGACTGGCTCCTTACTTGCTATCTCTGAATTTAAGAGTTATATGGAGTGGTACTATCTCAAAAAGCATAACCAAGAGGAAAATCAACCTCCTGAAGAAAGTACGAACTCTCTTGATGCAAGTACTGTCTACAACACTGATGCTAAGCCTTGTACAGGAATTAAGAGTATCAAAAATGCTAAAAATACACCGTATGAGGTACAAAACTCTGAGAATCTACAACAGATAAGGACAATGGGAAATCCTGAAAATTTTATGAAAGATCTAGAAAATTCTTCCTTAAGAAACCATCTTTCTGGAATCAAAAGAAATGCTACTTCTGATGGTACGAATCCTGATATTGTGGTTCAAGGCCACAAACGGAAATGTATGAATGAAGAGTCTCAAAATAAGCTCGCTCAGCTGTTCAGACAGAAACAACTCAGTAGGCAGAATAGGAGTTTGGATTTTCAAGAAGAAGGCTCAGAAGGAAGTGAAGTCCAACCGCCTCTTTCTGGTATTATTATTCATAACAATTTTAGAAATCAAAGCAGAAGCTATTAAGCCAGATACGAAGAATTCTCACGAGAGCAGCCCTAGAGTCATTAACTACTCTACTCTACTTAGAAATGAGGAAGATTTGCCAGATAGTAGCAATCCAGGAGGATCTGCTCATGAAGTGACTTCTTACAATGTGAATACTCCAATGCGTTCTGAAATTTCAAGTCAAGTTCTTAACTCTTCGATGTACTCTAAAATGGGAAAGGGATCAACTAAGTCTTCCAAGTACTGTGGGAAAAGGAGAAACATCGAACTCAAGAGAGACAAAAAGTGTCTTAAACAGAGCATGCATGAAAAATTGGCTAAGTGCTTTTACTTCCAACCATAATTTTGAATATTCAAATCTATTTAGCCGCTCTCAATAAATTTGAAATTAAAAGGGGTTTTGGGGTTTTGGGGTTTTGGGGTTTTGGGGTTTTGGGGTTTTGGGG